CAGGTGTGGGGTTGGCTAGCCCCTTGGAGCCCTGGCATTTGCTGCTCTGAACCATCAGCCTCCTGGACTCTTTCTTTTTTAGTAATTGTTTTATATAGCTTTTACGTTTTATGTAATTCTATTTTTATTTATTGTTTTAATGAGTTGTAAGCTGCCCAGAGTCCCCCATTACGGGGAGATGGGTGGGGATAAATTTAATAAATAAATAAATAAATAAATAAATAAAATAAAAATAGGAGAAGACACGTTAAGAGATAAGAGCTTGGGTTCTTCAGAGGCAGAGTATCTTTACAGTTGTCACTGAGATGGGGAGGATGTGCTTCATCTTGGAGGTGCATTTAGGAGGTATCAATATAAGAGCCCTGCTAGAGGATAACACAGAAGTGCTCGTAGGCTCCCCTGAAGCTTCTTTGCCTTAAGGTACTGGCTGTGTTAGGAGCAGTCGCTGTTGTTTTTCGTCTTGAAAGTTGTTTTTGTCTTGAAAGGAGCATGTCAGCATCCAGATAGTTGTATCACTTCGGACATGAAGACTGTTATTTACGCTTTAACCCAGAGGTTTAGGATCCCTTTGTACAAACACTTGTGTAATTTGTTTCTGCAACACAGCTTGGTACAGCATATTAAGTTGGAGCTGGGGACTATCTCAGCCACATCGCTAGAGATTCAGAGTTGATTCGGCATTGGAGCTGGAATCTTTCGGCCTCTGTTCCAGGCATAACAATGCTGTTTTTCATATTGAATGCATATAATTAGCCCCTGCATGTTATTACCGTTCCCTCCCCACGTGTTTCACCAGCATGCTTTTCCATCCGGCATGTGTCTTGGTAAACCACCTCATTGACTAGCATTTCAGAGCAACACCTGGCAGAGGGGTCACCTGCGGCTCTGTTCCTTGATGGGCCTGTTGCTGGAATGCCAGCTTGTGACGCAGCTCTTCTCTTCTTCAGGTGAACAGCCTGAAGCTGGATGATACCATCAATTCATTGCCTCAGCTCCAGGACTGCAGCATCTTCCTCAAGATCATCAGCAAAATGTAAGAGGGCATTGCGAGACTTTTGCTTTCTTCCTGCAGCCTGTAGTAGATCAGGAGGTGCATAATTCTGCTGGCTACGGGGATGACCAAGGATCTAAGAGAAAGGGGTATTTATTGATTTATTAAATTTCTATTCTGGCTTTCTTGCAGGAGCTCAAGGCAGCATATGTGGTGCTCCTGTTTTTTCCCCCACAGCAACCACCCTGTGGGGTAGGTTCGGCTGAGAGAGCATCACCCAGTGAGTCTCCATGGCAGAGGGTGGACCTAAGTGCCTGGTTCCCAAGGCAGCACTTTCCACGCTACGCCACCCTGTTACCCACACTGTTAGTGTTTCAGCACCAGGCCCAGTTTGCAGTAAGAAGGGCTTAGAAATCAGCCACTTAAAAAATAAACACGCACAGACACTGCAGTGGTCCGGAGGATTCACTCCATTATATATTCCCATTTCCCCATAGCCTTAAAAGACTTACTCTTTTATCGGCATCCAGACACACGGACTAGGATTGTGCATCACTCTCAGACTCTTGAGAGCAATATCTGGACCTCAGGGCTTCTGAGAAAGTGAAGCCATGTCTTGTTCAGATGAAGGTTTGAGGAGCTGCACCTAAAGCACAGATCAAAAATCAGCATTCAGTTTTCTCCTGAATGACCTGCCCTCTTTGTCCATATTAGGAAATTGCTGGCAGAATGCTGATATATTTAGGAGTTGGGTTTCTAGCTGTTATGCCTAGTAACCATGGATCAGGATAACCATGGATCAGTGAGACATATCTTTTCATTCACTGTAAACTCTGTACAGTTGGCTGGTGTGGGTCTTCTGAGATGTGTGGCCATGTTCTGGAAGTCTTGTTTCCTAACGTTTCGCCAGCATCTGTGACCGGCATCTTCAGAGGACAGGAGCACAGACAGGAGCGGTTCTCTCTGTGCTGAGAGCCCGGAAGACCCACATCAGCCATCGTATTCTGGCCGTGAAAGCCTTCGACAATAGTTGCTTTAATTCATTGAGGTCAAGTTCTGTGGGCACTGAAAATGGACCTTGCCTATTCACTTTCAACATTGTTCATAACATGGGGGTGCTTGAGGATTACTGAGAAGCTGCAGCTAATGAAAAATGCAAGAAGTAGATTGTTGTTGGACCTAGAGAAACCGTATAACATCACATCAGTTTCCAGGCCAAGTTCATGATTTTATAATCTTGTTTAAAATGCTAAATTGCTTACGATGTCAGTATTTAGAAGATGGGGGGCAGAAAGTAGATTTACGACCACTCAAGAATGGATTACTTTTGCTGCTCTTTGGAGCATACAGGAATGCAGACACAGCCCTTGTCAGCAGGTGCTTAGTCTGATATGGCTGCTTTAACGAGCTGCTGACTCATTGGCTGTTGATTGCTGCCTGGATGCTCCCAGTACCCCACCCCTTAGAAATGTAAAGGACAGCCTTCTCACCTCTGGGGCCCTGCTTGTTGAATGGCACCTTTGAGTCTGGCTGTATTCTGGTGTCTTATAGAGTTGTTTCCTAGTTGATTATAGTTTTTCTGTGTTAATGATTTGATTACTTGCAGATTATGGTGGTGTCTTTTATCCTTGCTATTGACTTGTTTAATTAATTATAAACATTAGAGCTACTTAAGATTTCCCCTCTGGGCTTTAGAGATAATAAAATTCTTCCTGGCCAAATCCTGAATTCAAGCCAAAATAAGTCCCAAGGTAGTGATCCTTTACTTTGCCCTATTTTAAACTGGGAGTTTCTTCTGTAGTTCTCTCTCTGTTTTGTGGCTGCAATTTGGCACCTTTAAAAAGAATTGAACGGGGGGCGGGGGGGAGGTACTATTCAGTGGCTACTGGGCGTGGTTGCTCTGTAGTATTGTAGGCAGGGTGCCAATTGATGGAGCCCTAAGTATTCCATGTAGTCAGTAGCTGGAAGCCATGAGAACTCGTGATATTAAACATGTCAGCATTTAACAGTCCACAAGCTTTATCCAGCCTGCACCCAACAAGGTTTAGCCAGGAGCTTCTGGGGAGGCTGGTCTTGGGCCTCCAGAATGCCTTTCTCATGCACAGAGCCAGCTTCACAAGCATCCCGTGCAGCTCCTCCTCTTGGGGCCTTACTGTCTTGACAGGCCTACTCCAGGAAGTCAACAGAGCTGCTGTCCTTGGTAACTGAGCTTGGGGAGTTCTGTGTTTGTAAGCAGAGAAGCAGCAGAGGAGAGACAGCTGTTCTCCAGCTCCTCCTGTGGGTTCATTTGTGTCCTCTTCCTGGGTGTCGGTCCAGGAAGGCAGTTTCTTAAGGTAGAACCTTGCCATCTTCAAGATGAGGGTGACAACTGAAAGACCCACACTCTTTTTTCCCTTGCTACGATTAATCCCTCTGCCCTGTAAGCTCCGTGGTTGATTTTGGGCCGATTGCTTACTCTCAGCCCAGCCTACCTCACAGAGTTGCTGTTCTGGGGAAAAACAGAAGGAAGAAGTACCATGGAAGCTGTCTTGAGCTCCTGAATCAGAGGTGAAATATAAATCAAATAAATGAACTGTCTGAACTCCAACTGCCCGGTTCCATCGTAGCAGCATCAGGACATCCACTGTGCTAGCTTCAGGTCTGGCAGATCCATCATTGCCTGAGTAGATGCCAATGGTTTCCACATTTCAACCTTTTCCCTGCTCGCTCCTGATGCTTCCCCTCCTTTTGCCCAATGAAGAATCCATTGGAATCTGCTTTTCCAAAGTGAAATGACCCCTTTCTCTCTTCCAGCCATGGCACAGAAGAGGGGCAGGCTGTTTTGCAGCAGAGCGTGCCAGAGCGGGTGGCTCATGTCATTGGCTTCCTCGAAAGTAAGTTCTTCTGTCAGGTGGTGCTTAGGTCTTGGGGGAAGCTTTGTCCTGGTAGGCGCCCCCCCCCCCCCCCAAGCTTTATCAGTCAGAGGCTCTTGGCTATTCACCTGCATGAGCCTCCCTCTCACATCTTCCATGGTGGTGATGGTTGTTTATACACCTTTACTAAGATCACTTTGGTGTGAACTGGAGGGTGAGAATTCACTTTAGAGCCCAATCTTCTCAAGTTCCAGTTTCTTCCCTGTCCCCACCAGTCCCTTTGCCTTTTCACGGCCAGGAGAAGGAACGGACACACGCATAATCTAGGGATTTCTAGATTAGGGGCATCCCCCTGCCCACCCCCCAAGAGAGAGAGAGATGGGGAGAACCCAGCCAGGAGGGGTCACCTAGTTGCCTGAAGCTGATTCCTCTTTCTCCCAGGTAATCAGATTCAGTGCTCTGAAGTGTCATCCAAAGTGATTTTGCACAATAGACAAGGCACTTTGAAGTGTCTTCTAACTAAGAACTGGAAGAGCTGCCTTTGAAAGCTGCTGCTGGGACTGAAAGGAAACGTCAGTGCGTGCCCCTACTCTGATTGAACCTCTGGCTAGCTTAAATTGCGTCCTGGCCAAAGGTGCCAGATATGTAAAAAGAGAAAGCGCACATGGAAGAAATATGTTATGAAGGGACAACAGTATGACAGCTGCGTGGTACAGTATGCCTTAGCAGCTGAAACTGGGCCTGGATTCAAACAGTAGCAGCGTCAAAGCAAAATGGGCCGGCCCTCTGCCGTTCTGCTCAGCTTAGAAGAGTTTGGGCTGGGTCAAATGTAGGGGAGAGGCTGTGGGTTCAGGAGCTCAGGCAGAGCCCCTTCTGCTGGAGAGGACATGATGGAATTCAAGGCCGACTTACGCTCTGCCCACCTCTCTCCTTCCAGAACTTTGCAAGCCCAAATCCAGCGCCCGGAGCCTAGTGTCCAAGGAGAAGCTTTTGGCGGCCGAAGAGCTGGAATTGGCCAAGGTACTGCCCATGGTTTGGATTCGCTGTTTTCTGTGTTTGGCGCCTGGGCTTGGTAAAGACCGGTTGAAGGAATGGAGGGGTTCAGTCTGGAGAAAAGAAGCCTGAGGGGAGGCCTGGTCTCGTTGTGCAGGTCCTGTTAGGGAAGATGGTCCAAAGCTATTGTTTGTGGCCACAGAAATATCACGATGCCACACCCTGTGCCACTGAATGACCTGGCCCGGTGGTTTCTGTAGAGAGTGGCTCTGCCACTGGGCCTGGGGTCTGGCAATGGTGGGGAGCTCTTATAATGGCTGTCTTGAGCTGATGGGGAATGAGTGCTGCTACTGATTGTGATTTTATGTTTTTTAAATTGATTATGGACAGTTTTTACATGTTTGTATATTGGTATTTAACTTGTTTATTGTTTTTACCGGTTGTGAGCTGCCCAGAGTTGCTTAGATGAGATGGGCGGCCATACAAATTGAAATAATAATAACAGTAGTAGTAGTACTAGTAGTAGTAGTAGTTATTATTAATGGTAAGATACCCAAGCCCTGAGATACCCCGCAAAAGTGGGCTGTAGGACTAGACCTCTCTGCAACACTCACTGGAGCCGACCATGGAGGAAGGAGGGGAACCACTGTAAAACAGTGCCCCCCATTCCCAACCCCCAAGTTGGTCCAGAGGGATATCCTGGTCGATAGGTTCAGAAGCCACCGAGAGTTGCACCATCCCCATCCCGAGTCCTCCAGAGGCCATCCACAAGTGCAGCTGATGCCGTCTCAGTCCTACAGCCTGGCCTGAACCCTGCTTGAAAAGGGTCCAGATAACCCACTTCTTCCAGGGTCCTCTGAAGCTGAGCACCTTCCACCTGCTCAACAACATTCCCCCGAAAAGGGAAAGTCAGAGACTGGACAAAAGTTGTCCAAAATGGCCGCACCCAAGGGTGACCTCTTGAGGAGGGGTGCACCACCCGCTCCTTTAAGGTAGATGGGCCCACCCTCTCCCTCAGCGAGGCCTTAACTTTGGCTTGGACCCAACCCCATGCCACCTCCTGAGAGGCCTTGGCCAGCCAGCAGGAGCCTGGGTTCAGAACACAGGTGGCCAAGCTCCCAGCAAAGAGGCCCTGCCTGCTTCCTCAGGATGGACCGGCTCAAACTGTTCCCAGGCATCTTTGGCCAGAAGCTTTCTGTAGCTGTGCTACCATCACATGGAGCTTCTGGCTGAAAACAACCATTGCTGGGGCCAGTGTCATCTTCCTCTTGTAGATGTCGCATGGTGACTGTTTTTCTCTGCTCTTCCAAGGTGGTCATGTTGCTGCTTTATTATGCTTCCATGAGCGATAAGATTCCTCGGGAGTGGACCATGCTCGAATATGACCTCCAGGTAACAGGGATCTTTTTCTGTGTTCTATCTGGAATCTGCTCAGCCAGGTGGCTCTTCTGCACGTCCGCATCTAAGTTGCTGTGCTGCTTTTTGCCTTTGGAGAGTTCCCATTTGCTTGCATAATGCAAATTCAGGAATATCGATGAGTAAGATGCTAGACAGAGACATCTTTTGCAGAATAGTGTTGTGCACATGCTCAACAGATCCTTCAATGAAGTAGTGAACAACTGTTTGTGAATGGTCGAGCAATCATTCAGTTTTAAAATATGCCTGTTTAATGCCACATGCTTTGTGGGATAAAATTTATCCTTTAGAAACAACCAGGTCAGGTCAACTTCCCCTATTTTTAGATGCTTTTAAAGCTTCTTTAAGGCTTAAATCTCAAATTTTTGCCCCTCAAATGAAAACAGTCTGGACATATTGATCGCCCACTCCAGTGATATCCTGACCATACCAGCCTCTCACCCCTTGCATCTCTCAATATGGCCAAAGAAGGAGCAAAAAGATGCCCTTAGGAGTAGAAGGGCATGGGGCGGTGTTTGCCAGGCAGCGGGGGACACAAAGTAGATTTGGTATTGCTTGATGGGAGTGATATGCAGTAGATTGGCAAGAAGACCAGCCTCCTGTTGTTTAATATGGCGGTGCATGGTTAGGAAGAAGTGCTTCAGTCCTTGCACAAATGCAGCACGTCTCTGCAGTTCATTAAAGAAGCCAGACCTTGTCCCGGGCTTTAAGAAATTGGCACATTTATTTACTTATTATAAGTGCTTTTATGCCTCTTCTCCCATCTCGACTAAGTGGCTCATGAGGAAAAATGCAGTGCTAGTAGAGCAGTGTTTCTCAACCTTGGCATCTTTAAGGCACGTGGACTTCAACTCCCAGAATCCCCCACCCAGCCAATTCTGGGAGTTGAAGTCCACGT